TGTAATATTATAATATGTTTTATAATATTGTAATTATATTAACCATTTTAATAATATTATTATATTCTATATCATAGTAATATAATATATTATATAATAATAGTTTTTTATTATATTAAATATAATAATAAATATATATTATATTGTAATTATATATATTATATTATAGTACAATAATATATAGTCGTAATTTTTAACGATCCATAGTAATTCAACCTCATAATTTACCAAACGTTATTACATTGATTTTGGAACCATCACAACTACTATAATTATAGTTTACCAAACACTTAACTGTTTTGTGTAATAGTTGCTTTTTCTTTTAGCTGTTTTTTCTTTCAACACAGCTAAAAGTAATTTTTTCAAAATCTACAGCAATACCAAACTAAGCATTTATGCCTCACAAGACCTACGGGCTTTGGAATATTTCTTTTGAACATGATTAAAACCCTTTTATATATTTTAAAACACTAGTTTAAACTACGTATGCGCGCAAGATTCTGTAAAAGAATTATGTAGAAAAACATTCTCCTTTAATAATAACATTATGTAGAAACACATTCTCCTTTAATAATGTAATATAATAATGTAATATAGACTTTCCTAGGAAAAAAAATTAGAAAAATGGGGAGTAAAAAAATGATGGATCCAAAAGATGTAAATAAAAAAGAAGGGAGGACTAAAACTATAGCAAAACTCAAAAAACCAAAAAAAAAAAAAAAGCGAAATGTTTAAGTCATTTGAGGAGATCCGGGGAATAACATGTTTTTTATTTATATGTCAAAAATTCCTTATTGGGGTATATATATAAAAAATGTAGTTAAGAGGATCTTTTCATTAAAAAAAGGGTTAAAAAAAATAGTTATGAGAGCCACATTTGAAATGTATAGTAGGGAAATATAAGTAACAATAAAAGAAGAGGGGGGACAACACAAATAAAGGAAAAAAAAAAAAAGGAAAGAAGACAAAAGGAACGAAAAATTTTGTTCATGAGGAGAATTTCGTTTAGTATATATTACTGTTGGGATATATATGTTTAACATAGGAAAATAAATTATTTCAACATGGATATTAGAGGGAAAAAAATATTTACGAGGGCATTGTATATATTAGGAGAAGAAAAGATTAGAAGGGAAAATAAGAGAGGAAGGAAAAGAAAGAAAGAAAGAAAGTTTTGTCTATGATGAGAGAATCCATTCAGTATATATAAGCATAGATAGGGATACATATGAGAGAATCCATTCAGTATATATAAGCATAGATAGGGATACATATGAGAGAATCCATTCAGTATATATAAGCATAGATAGGGATACATATGAGAGAATCCATTCAGTATATATAAGCATAGATAGGGATACATATATGAGGAGAAATTATTTTAATGGGCGATTGGAAAAAAAAATATTTATGAGCATTTTACTTGAGAAAAGTTAAAAAAAAAAATGTATAGTAGGAAAAAGAAGTAATAATGAAAAAAGAAAAGAGAAAAACAAAAAAAAAAGTAAATAAAAAAGAATCATGAAGGAAAAGTTTTGTACATAAGGAGAGAATCCATTCAATATATGTAAGTGTAGATAGGAATACATATATGAGTAATTTATTTTAATATGGATATTAGAAAAAAATATTTATAAGGGCAACATTTTGAGAAAAATAAAGGAAAAATGGTAAAGTATGGGAGGAAAAGATAAGAAGATCTAAGAACATTTTAATGTGAATCTAGAATCTCGCAAGTGCACGAGTCAACAAGTAGTAAAATGATGAATAACCAAGTATCGTCCTACAGGGATTGAGTGTTTTTGAAATCAAATTGCTAAGTTAATTCTATTCAAGTTTTTAAGAAGAAAACTAAAGTTGATTTTAAGATACTAAAAACTAATAATAATCTGACTATAAGAAAATGAACAACAAAGATAAAACTAATTAATAACAAAATGTGCAAATAAAATTGGCCAAAGTCACTGTGCGTGGCTCTCAATTGCTAAACTGTCTCCTATCAATGTTGCGCGATGCTGCAGCAACGGACGGCAACAAAACTTCCTTGTTAACCAGATTTACTACAGTAGGGATTTTCCAATCCTCTGTCTACTGATCTTAAAAACTAAATCCAACAAATCCCTTTGCAAATCCAGACTCTAAAATCAGAGAATGAAGCTCTAAATCATATGGTTATGCAAGACACAATACATTCCTATATCGTGTGAATCAAAAATCTAAAACAAGATCTAAGAACTTGCACTATTCAAGCTGTGTCCACTCAACTAAATCTTCCCAGATCTAATCAAAGCTATGCTCCCCTCTTATGATTTCCCAATCACAGTTAAGGCACAAATTCAGCTCACTTGAATAAACAAAGAAATAATCATCAGATCCATTCAACATCAACTAATATTTTAATATTTAACAACTCAACAATCTCAGCCAACAAATCATAATCTTATAGAGTTATATATGGATTTGAGTTCAAATTTATAAAGAAACGTAAATGTTCTTCAACAAGGTAAAACAGAGTATTGAGAGTAAGAAAAACTAAGGTGACGAGGAGAGAATCAGAATCCCCCTTTTCTAAGGTTTCTTCTCGCACTTCTTGCATCAACAGTGGTCCTTCCTTCACGTTCAACACCCTGTGACGTTTTCTTCTTCTTCTTCCTAGTACTGGAGCTAGTACTTGATCAAAGAAATGGAGGTGGATTCCTTTTCCAAGTTCAGTCGCCTCTACGTTACAAAATATGACCAAGGACACCTTTTTTCTTCTCAGCTGCAGGTACTTATTGTACCCTAATTCCACGTGGCAACACATGAGAAAGCCTCCAATGAGTGGCTCAATCAGCACCCTTCACGGACAAAATCAGCCCATTAACCAGCTCAGGTCCAGCTGTCAGCAAAACACACGTCTGGCCCAGCTTGTCTTGCTGTAGCAATGCACAGCAATGCTGACTAGGATTCCTTCATACTCTAAAAATGAAAAGCTGCTCAAAGCTCCAAACGACCACGTTTTCTTAAAGCTGAGATTAACCACAAAGTACACCTGAATTAGCTCTTTTTAAACGCTAACTACGAGAGAGAGAGAATTTATGAAATACAAATAACTAAAAACAATTAACAAGACAAAATATAGGAGAAAACTAATACTAATTACCCTCTAGGTAATAATTTGAGCCTGGAAAATACTCAATTAACTCTATTTTCATAGAGTTATCAGTAATGTAACAATCTTGCAAATTTTTTGTATTATAGAGAATAAATATTTTTCATATAATTTTTTGGGGATAAAACCATTTTGCACTCTGTCTTATAGTGAAATTTGACACCTTTTATTTTTTTTATAATATTAAAATGGCACTTTCATGTTTAGAAAAACATCTTTTAGATACCTTTAAATTATTTTTTGAGACATAGTCCCAAGTATTTTAGACATTAATCATCAACTTGCATGGTTTTTACAACTTTTTTCTTGAACTTATAATTTTAGAATCTACCTCTAAACTTATAAAATATTTACAATCTTTATTAATTTTGTTAGGCCTTTTTTTTTTTTTTTTTTTTTCCAATTTAAGGGATGTAGAGTTGGGGAAATTAAGAGATTTATGTTATAATTAGAATTAGAATGTTGAAATGTTTTGTTGAGCATGATTTTTTAGATTATCATTATTAGTGCTTCCTAAGTTTTAATGTCATTCTCAGCTTGTCATCGAACTTTAAAAACTCTCACTTTGCCCATTGAATTTTAAATTGTTCTCACTTAACTCATTCTGTTGGAACTTCTATTAAAAATAGATAAAGAAAAGAGAGTAATGTAATCACATGTTTTTTTTTTTTGATTATCTGTTAAAAGCAAACGGATAAAAATCATTTGACCATACTTAACCTTTTTTTCGATATGATTTTAACATAAATTCTTACAAAAATGCTTAAAGGGGACTAATCTAAAATTCAAGAGTCAAAGTGACAATTTTGAAAATTTAAGAAACAAACTGAAAATGACCATAAAGTTTAAGAGCACCAGTGATAATAATCTTATTTTTTTGTCACCGAAATTAAAATCTCTCTAAAATTAAAAGTTTAAGAGGACGTTTGATATATAATAATCTTAGAGATGAGAATGAAAATTCATAAAATTACTGTATTTAGTATAAGAATTGCAATTTTTAAATTCTAAGAAAAGCGAATCCCTCCCTCATTTTGGAGTAATTTGAACAAGGAATCTCATTCCCATGAAAAACGTGAAAATTTCAGCAGCCCACCCTGGGCTTAGTTTGGTAGAGATTTTGAGAAGTCAAAATCAATATTTTTTTTCGCTGAAGCTAAAAAAATGTATTTAATAAACACTATAAAAATGGATTCTTAGAGAATTTAAAAACTATTTTTGGTTAAAATCAGAAGCAACTTGCTTCTTCCGATTGTGAATTGTGCGGGAATCTCATGCCTTCATTAATGAAATTTTGGTTATTCCCAAAATAACCCTGAACCTAAGCCTCCTTCCGCCATCTCTCCTCTCTGAGGCTTTTTTCTGTTCCTTCGCCATCCCATCTCGTGCTGAAACCGAAGCCTCCTCTCGTGCTCTCTCAGCCTTAGCCAAAGCTCTGATTTGTTTGGACGCTCCGATCGCATGGCCTCTGTACCTACTCCTTATCAGACTCACATTCCTCTCCCCTCGCTCTCTGGTATTTCTCTTTCTTTCTCTTCTTTACCTTCGATCCAATTCCAGATTTTTCTTGCACAATCTCAAGTTTTCTGTTGTTTAGAATCCGATTACCATTTCGTTGATTCGGTTTCTTTGGAACGTCGTTTTCGTAGCCTTTTTGGTTCGGAAACGCCTATGGTTTGGTCTGTTTGGCTGTCGAGAAAATGTCTGCGAGTCATGGAAGAGTTCTTTTTGTTTGTTCTAACCTGAGAGATCGGATCGCTTACTGTCTGGGTTAGTCTCCGAGGAATATTGTTACTAACTGAACAAAAGCAAAACGCGTATTTCGGATTGTCAATTCGGATTTCCCCTTTCCGTTTCAAATCCTAAGTTTCTCGGCAATGAAAGGGATAATTGACGATCAAATTACTTTCTCTTGCTCAATTTCAGTAGATTTTCTTCTTATACTATGTATTGCTACTCCTCTCTCTCTCTCTCTCTCTCACACACACACACACACACACACATAGAATTTACGCTTTGTGCTGGTTTTTGAATTGAAGTTGGGATTGCCCGTCTTTCATCAAAATTTCACCTATGTTTACTATTCTTATCACTTTCGAATTAAACTACTTGTGATTGTTCCTTTATTACGGCAATCAACTGGAAGATTGACGGTCGAATGATTGGTTATTGTTCAATTTCCGTCGATATCTCTCGCAGATTGTTTACCGCTGTTCTTCGTTTGCGCTCTCTCTATCTGTATCTGCCCATAATTTACCCTTCGGGCTGATTTTTGGTTTGAAATTATATGCTTGTATTTTCTTCAAATTTCACTATCTTCCCTTTCTAATAAACTATTTTTGATTATGCCTTTGATTACATCAGTTGGCTTAGGACGAGTAAAAATGAACTAGAGATAATAAATATATTGGTTTGGAAGTCGATTTGTGTACTATTTTTGTTGGTTCTAAATGTTAAATAACATATGTAACTTTCATGATTTGGCTGGATAAGAATTTCATGTTCTTTTCTTCTTTCCCGGATGGTCAAGTTTCATAAATTAAAGTCCTTTTTTTTTACCCTCCTGGTGTATTACAGATGAGACGCCCCTAAAACATGAAGCTCATTTATCCGAAGTTCCTGTTCACATCGTTACTCATGCCTCTCAACTTCCCCCTGAGTTTCTGCACCCGTCATCTGAAAGGCAGTTGGTCATTGGTTTCGATTGCGAGGGAGTTGATCTGTGTCGCCATGGAACACTCTGTATAATGCAGGTAAACAACATTTTACTTTCATGCTCTTTGTGTTCAGTGTTATTAAGAAGCTTTGTCGATAATTTCAATTGATTATAGTCTTACAATTGTTTCACTTGAGATAATTTCTTCATATGTGTTCTTTTAAAACTATTTGGCAGCTTGCATTTCCAGTTGCTATATATTTGGTCAACGCCATTCAGGGTGGAGAAATGCTTGTGAAAGCATGTAAGCCTGCACTTGAGTCTAGTTACATCACAAAAGTCATTCACGATTGCAAACGAGATAGTGAGGTCTCTAATTCATTTTTACTAGCATATCTCGGCATGAGTTATTTCGTCATATTAGTTACAATATTGAATTTATTCTCCTTTTCTAGGCCCTGTATTTCCAGTTTGGCATCAAATTGAACAATGTTATGGATACACAGGTGATCATGTTACATGTTTATGGGATATTTGTCATGCTCTATTGAGTTTGATAAAGGATTTCATAAGACTTTGTTGCTTGAAATGCTCTGATTTGTCAATTGCATTTGTTAAGATCAATTCTTGTGGACCTGCCAAGAGTGTTTGTTGTTTCATTTGTCAGCCTGAGCATCCGTTCTCTGCCTCTTTTCAGTTACCTTTTTTTTTCTTAGGATATTTTCGATCATGAATGCTATTCTTAATTAGTTAGTCTAAAGTTTTGCATTTTCGTGGCATTCAGATTGCTTTTTCCTTGATAGAGGAGCAGGAAGGGCGACTGCGATCTCCAGATGATTACATATCATTTGTCAGCCTCCTTAAGTTTGTATTTGTAGGTATATACGTGTGTATGGATATATATGTTTGCAAGAACTATTTTTTTGGAATGGGGATGTTTATTTGGTTGGAATTGTTTCATGGATATGGTTATGTGTTTCATGGATGTGTTGAACGCACTTTTGAAGTTTCTTGCTATCAATGAGGTAATTTTTATTTTTGAAATGATATTTTTACAACGAAATGGCTTCTCGCCACAGAGTCAGGTTCTCGTGCATTCAGATTATCAAGATTGTAACTGTCTATGCCAAGCTTTGCAAGAGAGAGAGCACAAAACAATTCCATAACTCGAAGATAAGTTCCCATTAGTGTACAAGAAGGTCAGGCCACCAACTAGGAAGCTAAAGACCACATACAAGGCATCAAAGCCCAACTTGTTTATGTAACTTGGTCATTTGACGATCAAGCTTTTAAGAGAAGTCTTGGATCTTTCTGGTAGAAACATCTTTTTTGGTCCCTTTTTGTTATTTTATCGGATATTTTGTTATTTGATCATCTTTGAACCCCAAGTTAGTTTAGTTTAAATGTTTTAAAATTCTTGTTTGCTTACTAATAATTCTACTAATATTAGTGTCCGGACGAAATGTCATTGAACGCACTTTTAGTGTCTGGAAGAAAAAATAGAAAATTTTGAAAGACATGCTAAATTATTCATTTACGAAAGAAGTGAAAATAGTTATTGCAACAATAGCGCTCCATAACTACATTAGGAAACATGATAAGCGTGATCAACATTTTCAAATGGTCGAGGATAATTTAAATGTTTTCGTTTTTGAAGAGAATCAATCAGAGGACAATATAGAAGAAAATCAAGCTTTACTATCACTGGAAATGGATGAAATACGAGATCAAATTGTAGCAAGTTTAATGAACACGACTTAATTTTTTTCATACCTCTACCAGTTTTTGAACATTAAATGTATATTTTTGTTCAACAAATTGATTACTCACTAATTATCATAAATTTATTGTTAAAAAACTCAAAATCATAACATTATGTTTTTTTTTTTAAGTTAAACAAGTCTTTTTAAATATAAAAAATAATTATATATATTTAAGTTTCATATCATGTCTATTTTGATCATTTTACATACTTACAGTAATTCAACCTCAAAATTTATCAAACACTATTATACTGATTTTAAAACCAACACAGTTACTATAATTACAGTTTATCAAACACTCAGTTACTTCTTGTGACAACTACTTCTTCCTTCAGTACAGCTAAAAGCAATTTTTCTAAAATATACAGCACTACCAAACTAAGCCCTTATCTCCTCCATCTCCAGTTCTCACACAGCCTTACCACACCTCATCGGACTTCGTCAGACTTCGCCGAACCTCACCGGACCTCGCCGGAATTATCTTCCCATTCTCCTTCGATCTAGTTGTCTCCGCCGTGCCTTCCCCTCCCCGGCTAAGCAACTCGCTTCCTCACCCCCTGCACACCATTGCCGGCCATCTCTTGCTCTGGCGACAGCAAACTTTAAACAAGATTAGCAAAGGAAAAATTACATGATATTCAAAGGGGGCCATAAACATGATCCATAATTTATACATTTTCATCCAAGTACATTCAAACAAGCGCTTCCAGATCAATTAACGGATATGAATCTCACCTTAGATAATTCTTTTGATAGTGATGCACTCTCTGTATAATATAACTTAGCTTTCTCTTCTATGGCTTGAACAGAAGCCCTCTCCTTTGCAGTCCATAAGGCCTTTCTTTACCTCCTCCCTTTCCAAAAGGGAATCTGAAAGTTGCTGCAAAACCAAATATCAATAGATAAGCAATTTCCAAACACTAGACGACGCAAAGAGACTAAGATTCGCAAATGATACCTTGCAATTCAAGCCAAAACTAGTCTACCATTGCCAATTCTCCTTCTCTTCTACCAACATTTTTATGGAGCTCTCCATTTGTTGCTGCTGCAATTTAGAATCTTCCAACCTTGCCTCTGAACAGAGAAAGATATTTGAGTATAAGTTTCCAAGTATAACAAATACAATCCAATTATACCTCTCATACTCTTATATAATGGAAAGAAAAGTAAAAGCTAAACAACAAAGGAGAGAATGCCTTACAAGGCCTAAAACCTCTTCCTATAACAAATTCAGTTCAGAGTTCGAAATATTCAACTTTTCAGACAAAACTACTAATTCAAAAGCCAAATATCATCAATCTAATAGTCAATTACAAATATATCTACACACACATATATGTACGAAACGAGAAAATCTAACAATCAAATACATTATACTACATATGCAGAAGAATTAAATATCACTTTAGTTACCAGTACTGTCTAATCAAAAGAACCAGTTAGTCCTTTTGACTTTTTTGGGTCACACATCTTTGAACTCTTATCTATAACTGAATCGCGCCTTCTACCAACAAATGACTCACACCTGATAATTTCATGTTCAAGAAGAGAATTCTAACATTCAAACGTTCCATTTCTTGTTCTGTAAATGCTTTCTCGCCCTAAGAGTGTGCAGAGAATTAGTTCAAGATAAATATTGGAATTGAAAAAATAAGATGATTGTCTAGGTACGCAATATTGAACCTCAAGTTTGGTTTTCTCCTGCATTACATTCTTAAGCTTAAACTCCATCTTCCAGCTTCATTTTTGTTTTGTCAACATCCTTTCTCAATGTTTCCTTCTCCTTTGCCAAGGAACATGATGAAAAACTTGATATTTCCCTTTCAAGGCTTTGAATATGAGAAAGATAATCTTCCTTTTCTAAATCTTGTTCTTTCAAAAGTGTATGGAATAACATTAAGGCTTAGTTTGGTATTGCTGCGGATTTTAGATTAATTACTTTTAGCTGTGCTGAAGGAAGAAGCTGCTGTTACAAGAATCCGCTGAGTGTTTGGTAAATTGTAATTATAGTAGCTGTGCTGGTTCTAAAATCAGTGTAATAGCGTTTGGTAAATTTTGATGTAGAATTGCTGTGGGTATGTAAAATGACCAAAATAGACATGGTATGAAAGTTAAATATATATAATTGTTTTTAATATTTAGAAATATTTATTTAACTTTAAAAAAACATAATGCTATGATTTTACTTTTTTTAACAATAAATTTATGATAATTAATTCTTTTTTTTCATGATAATTAATTATAATTCACACAAAGATAGTAATAATAAAGTAATAATAAAGTATATTACAAAAAAAAAAAGTATACGATTTCTAAATCATTATAAATTGTTTCGTTATACAAAAGTATACAAATTGATTACTCAGTACAAGGAGTATTAGTGAGTAATCAATTTGTGAACAAAAAAGTACATTCCATGTTCAAAAAGTGACAGAGCCATCAAAAGAATTAAGCCGTGTTCATTAAACTTGTCGCAATCTGATCTCGTACTTCAACCATTTCTTGTGATAGTGAAGCTTCATCTTCTTCTACATTATCCTCCAGTTGATGCTCTTCATAAGCGAAAACATCTAGATTAGCCTCCACTTCTTGAAAATGTCGATCATGCTGATCATGCATCCTAATATAGTTATGAAGCGCCATTGTTGCAATAACTATTTTTACTTGCTTCTTAAATGAATAATTAGGCATGTCTCTCAAAATTTTCCATTTTTTCTTCCAAACACCAAAAGTGCGTTCAATGACACTTCGAAGAGAAGAATGTGCTTGGTTGAATACCTCTTTACTGCCCATTGGTCGACGACCCATTCGAAATTGTGGTAAATGGTATCGTTCTCCTTTATAAGGTCCAAGAAATCCTTTCAATTGTGGATAACCCGCGTCAACTAAATAATATTTACCTATTAAAATAAAAACACAAGAATTAGTAAAATGTAAAACATATATAATATAAAATATAGGCAATGTTTTAACCTTCAGGTGGTTTTGGAAATTTCAAATGTCGGTTACGTAGTGCTGATAAGAATATTCTTGTATCATGGGCACTACCTTCCCAACCTGCATATGCATATATAAATTTCATACTGAAATCACAAGCAGCCATCACATTTTGGGTTGGCACACGCTTTCTTCCGATAAATGGCACCTAATCTTCTGGTGGTATTGTAGCTTGAATATGCACGCCATCTATCGCACCAATACAATTCTAAAAAGAAGAATTTTTAATGTATAAATAAACATAATTTTAATAGGGAATGAAGCATATAAAAAGTATGCTTTTAGTAGGGAATGAAGCATATTAAAAGTATGATTTTACCTTAAAATGTGGCATATATCTACGATCCGTCAGTATCTCTATTGGTATGTCATTAAACTCTAGATCTGGAGGCTGTATAATATCGATGCTCATACGACATACAATTTCTAAAACATAATTAAAATATATACTCACAGTCTCACCAGAGCGTTAAAATCGCTCTTGTGCTGAACGATTCCCCGCACCCTGACCCAAAATGAATAAAAACATTCCAAGTATTTCAGTCGCACACATATTCCTTGATCCCTGTAATCCATACTTACTCTGTAGATCATTACATAGCTTCAAAAACACGTTCTTATCCATTCTAAACATCCTATAACTTCTAATTTCATGCCCTTTTAATAATTCTGTCACCCACATGTTTCCCGTTTGTGAAGAGTTCATACACGGATTCTTATGAACATACGTGTTGTAGTAATATTCAATGAGTCGAGCAATGAGACATGTAAATTGTAGATCAAACTCATCACCATTGTCAGCCATCTTTAGCAACAACAATAAACCTGTCATTCAAATTGGTGAAATTTGTAAACTCATCACCATTGTCAGCCATCTTTAGCAACAACAATAAACCTGTCATTCAAATTGGTGAAATTTGTAAACTCATCACCATTGTCAGCCATCTTTAGCAACAACAATAAACCTGTCATTCAAATTGGTGAAATTTGTAAACTCATCACCATTGTCAGCCATCTTTAGCAACAACAATAAACCTGTCATTCAA